ATTAGACTACTACAACTGCATAGGGATTCACAAGGATCCTACTCTGCACTGAAGTAAACTATACACCACTAGCTCATACAACAAATACAGAAACATAATTACAATTGTCCTGACACCAGAACCTCTTCATGTAGATTCTTTTCTAATATTCTTTTAGAAGCCACTCATTGAACAGAGTGCTGAATGGACTTTCTAAAAGTTTCCAATTACTCTGATACCAAACAGCCCTCCTCCCCACCTTCCGGCCCCCAGACAAGTAAGCCTTTTTAAAAACTTTTGCTTCCAGAATGTAAAAACGATTACCATAAAAATAAATACAGGTAGAAAGATGTACATGATTAACTCCAAACAATTAATATTTGTCTTATTGTTTACTGAAATGCAACAGTTATTAACAAATTCAATTTGGTTGTGTCAAACATCAACTAGGAGAAAGATTCCACCCAAGTTGGCGAAATCAAGCAATATTAAAGCAGCAACATGGTTTTCATTTCAATTACTATATGGAAATGGCTATAGCACTGAGTATACATATTGTGAATTGATTCACAAAGCAGTATGGGAATCATTTTGAAGACTTTCTCAGTCAAACACCTAATATGTTAAGCCATTTTTAAATGAAAAAAGCTTCAGTAAGGAGGCAGGAATAGAGCACTTAGAAATGAAGTAGTCAGATGTGTAATTTTCATAATTCAAAATCCTGCTAAATCATCACCACATGCAAAACAGTAAAACATTTTCTTTTCACTTTTACAGAGCCACTGAATCTAACAACTTCATTGAATTTAAGCACAAATCAAGTAGCTTCTTTCTTCCTTAAGGCTCAAATGGTAAGACAAGCTGAAAAAGTAACAGAGGATACAGTATTTCTACATTAAGACGTACAAAATCTATTTTAAAATTAATTTCAGAGAGACCAGCAGGCATGAAAAAAATTCAAGCTTATATATGTGTGTGTGTGTGTGTGTACGTGTCTGTGTGTGTGTGTACACACACACACACACACACACACACTATACTAGTCCCATTGGAAAAAACATCCTGCAGACTTTACTAAGCCATTGGCAGTTTAAGGTTAGAAAAAATTACATTGTATCTCAGTGATCTGCATTACATTTTCCTGAAAAGTTTAGCTTGTTTGTATGGGAAGCTCAATGTTATTTGAAAGAAAAAAATATGTATTGCTATAATACAAATTGACCCGAAAGCCAGTAATTTGGTTTAATTCAAGAAATCAGAGTACTGTTTTATATTTCATAGGTTGGAGAGCATCAAAATGAAAGGCCCACCTTCTTTTATTTATTCTAGTTTTTGAAAACCAATGCAAGCAAAACCCACATTTCCTATTCCAACATTAATTTGTTAAGACTCAATCCCAAAGCATGTTAACATGCAGCTTTCCTGAAATCTGTTTTGATACACAAGGAGCTCCTTTTAGAGAAATGTCCCTTACTCCCACGATCACACTTGATTCTTCATTTCTTAATAGCAAAATATAATCTGAGCAGTTTACACCCAAAATACTTTAATAAAACACCCACACTGTGACAAGAATGAGACTTTAATCAGTTTTAAGTGGAGTTTTAACACTAAGAGATAAAGGGTTGTTAAACACAATAACAAACGGACATCTGATTTGTATGAGGCATTATCCTGTACATGTCATATTTTGTTGTTTTTGTGTATCCTCAGTGCATAGCATTACACACAGAGCCACTGTTGCACAGCACAATAGTATCTGAAGAGGCTGAATCAAAGTAAGGCTGCTTGACAGACTCAATTTTCGTGTGTGTGTGTGTGTGTGTACGTACATATATTCATTCTCTCTCTATATATATACACTCTCTCTCTCTCTCTCTCTCTCTCTCTATATATATATACACACACACACACACACACACACTCTCTCTCTCTATATATATATATATATAGT